GCAACAATGCCGCCAACACTTAAATCAACACAGCATCAACAAAGCAAAATAAAAGCAAGGGACCACAGCACTCTGCAATCTAGGAGCTAACCCTGCTGGAGAACCCCTGCAGCAGATTAAAAAAATATTGCCAGGTTTAGATAGTCAGGAATATGGTATTACCAAAACGGTTTTAATATGAAATAGTCTAGATTTAAAAAAATCAAAATCTGGACATATTTTTAAGCATAGGTTCTTCCGCAGAAAAAATGTGCTAAGCATCCCTGAATTGTACCTCTGTGGTTCTGCTTATTTTATTCCTACAGTGTGGATCATGCATAAAAATTGAATCAAGGAATTATTATTATTATCAGGGCTTTTTTTGTCATAGAACGCACCAGAACAGTGTTCCGGCACCTTTTTTGACAGATTTGTCCAAGTGATTGTGAATCGCCCTGTTGGGTGTAGCAGGTCACGGCAGAAATCATTAACATAGTGCCTGCGGGCTGCTTGTGTGTAGGCGCTGATTGTCGGCACTGATTGTGATTGTGGTAGTGTGGTCGCATGCTGAGTGCTTACTGCTGGCGGCAACCATTGTGTAAAAGTGTGACCCCAAGACGTGAGTTCCGGCACTGATTTTTTACAAAAAAAGCACTGAATAATAATAAAATTCTAAGAGAAATTAGGTTTCCCGTAGGACTACTGAGAACATTACTTTTTGAACTGGTTAATCCACTTTATCTGCCTTCACTTTTATCACAGAAATGAGCTTGCAGCACTATATAAGGCCTTCCCCAAATTTCTGCAACTTCTAGGTGGCAGTGTAGGAAATCATAATAGCACAAATATATGTGGAAAAAGCTTTCCTTTCATTTTCACAAATAATGCCTCATTTTACCTGCTCTTAAAAAAGAAAAAAAAATAAAGCCAAAAGTGCTATTTTACAGCAAAAGTTAAATTGGAGGGTCATGTCTTCATCTACAGAACCCAAAAGCAACCCCGAGTAATAAATGGCTCATGTACAGAAGCTCTGAATGTTTCCTTTATATCGATATGAAATGTGTCTCATAAAGTGGATCATAGTCCACAAAAGCTTATGTCAGAATAATTGTGTTATTCTTTAAGGTGTCACAAGGCTCTTTGTTGTTTCTTCTGCAAAAGAATAGCAGGACTACTCTACTGGAATTTGCTTTGCTAATACTGGCCCTGACTGCTGGGACTTGGTTCCTTTTATGAAAAGCTTGCATTGGCAAAAGAGAAATGAAATTATGTTAGAAAGCTAATGCTCTCATCTGTATTATCCAGCGAGAATACGGTCTTGTCTGAGATGACACCATTTATGCCACGATTTACCAATTGGATATCTGGTCTCCAATGTTCGCAAGGAGCACTTTGGCTTGCGAGAGCACTAACATTCAAGCAATGGGGTGGTCATGGGAATTCTGTGTGGTGCAAAAGCAAGGCTCTCTAAGGCAGTGATGGAAAATCTGTGTTCCCCTGAGTGTAGCTGTTCTCCAGTTCGCATATGTCACGGCCAGCATGACCAAAGGTAAAGGAAGATGGGGCTTGTAGTCCCATATCTGAAGGCTTTCCTGCAGCTGCCAACACACATGTTGATCCTGTGCTGGTATAGGCTAAATGCTGCTTGGCTTGGATCTAGTGAACTTCTTTGGATTTTGCATCCCCATTGAATAGCGCTCACACACACACACTCGCACTCACACCAGCTTGTGCTGCAAATTGCTTTCAGAAGTTCTTCCTGTTTCTACAGTGGTTTGATATGAGGCTGCTCTTCCAACAGGGAGGGAGATACCTCGAGCATTCTTCCCTCTGTGTGCAGAAAACACTCCAGTGCCAGTATTTAGCATCTGCATTTGTGCAGGAGTCTTTTCCCCAGACTTTGATGGGGAAAGTCTGAAATGTGGCTGAATGTGGCTGAACTTAAAAGCTGGATGCAGATGCAGTTCTCTGCAGGGGTGGGCACGGGGGGAGCCCTGATAGTGCCATGCAGGCGGGTCGGGGATGAAGGATGTAGGGCCACAGTGGACATTTCCATGCGCCCTCCTTGGTTACAGATGTGAATGCCTGTGGAGGGCTCATAATTTGCATGGGTCACATGTTAGAATTCTGAAACAAAAGGTGGATCTTGCCACAGGAATTCAGTAAGCCAATTCAGGGCATAATCCTAGGCATGCTTAGCCAGGAAAAAGTCCTACAACTCTCAGTGTTTCCCAGCCAGTATGGGAGATCTTAGGACTCTTTTCTTCCAAATATGCATAGGATCACACCTTTAACTTAAATACTTTGCTCTCTCACAGAAAACTTGCTAAAAGAATTGGTGAAATCTTTGTTATGTATCCAAATAAAAAATTTCATACTGGATGTACAGAAGCTGCTGCAATATACAGTCATATGCATGTGCATGGGGGGGGGGGAATGCAACAGCTTCCATGTCAGGAGTGGTAGGGTTTTTTGATATCTCTACAAGGGTAGAATTGCACCCTTAATCTCATATGTACATGTACTAAAGAACGGGAAACTCCACTGGATTTTTAGCTATATTGCAAATGTAATTTCAAACTATTTTAAAAATCTGTCTCTCAGAAAGGTACGAAGCTTACAATGCTTATTCTTATATATTCTTAAAATCAGTCTAAATAAACCATGATTGTGTTTTTGTTAATTAAAATGATATCATCAAATAATATATTTGATGAGCATTAAATCAATGAAGTGTAAAAGAAAAAAATGGACTGTGACATGAAAATTATAGCGACAGCTAAAACAAAGAAGAAGAATCTAAGGAGCAAAAGCAGATGAAATGACCTTCAACATCTGAAAGAAATTTTAAAAATGCCAACAGATTGTTATCAGATCTATTTGTGTGTATGAGTTTTTTTCCCCAAAACACAAAAGTTTGCAACATATTTCTTTGGGGAATTGTTTAGCAAATGATACATTCTATGTGTGGAACACAAATGTAAACAGACACCTAATTCACCTGGTTTACAATCTGCTCTATGATCTTTGTTTATGCACTAAAAAAAGCAAACCAAAACAAAAAAATAAAACCATATATTTTGTAACAGAGAAGAAAGAAATATATTCAAAGACTTGACTGATTAAAAGCAATTTTATGAATATATTTCACTTGTACTTAGTCCATCCATTTCTAATAACTTGCTTGCATTTCAGCTGGGCTCATTAGCAAAAGATGGATACTATCAGCATTTTCTCCAATGACTGTCTGAATATGCACACCTGAGACCAGGCATGTTTACGCAGAGACAAGCTCCTCACCACACGCAAGAGGACTTAGGGCTTCTGCACAAGAGAGGATGAGCCTTCTGCTTTACTGAGGACTCTTCTTCTTCATTTGCTTTCTTTGCTGGAAGAAAAACGGGTCCTTTGCATGAGTTCTTTTTTTCTTGGTGCTTGCATTTCTCTGCCTTGCTGTATACTATATTAACCAACCACAAGGTGGTGATGCGGAATAGCTGCACTATAACAGAATGGCGACTTCTTGGGAAGCATTTGTTCCTGTATGTTGTGGTTTAAGATTTAATAGCAGCCTTTCCTCACACTAGAGAGAGAGAGAGAGAGAGAGTGGCTGGAAAACACAGGAGGGGCTCTAGGGTCAACACATTGTGAAAAGGGCTCACAAATTTCAATGCATGAGGGATCACAAGAACCCCACAAATACCTCATGTGGCGCCTCCGTCATTCATGAGCATTGGACCCCACAGCAAAAAGGATAGTTATAATACTACTATACTGGAGGGTGTTTGTTCTGACATTTCTCTCCTAGGCTGCTATCCTAAAAACACTTTCTGGGGATTAAACCTCATTATACAGAGCAGGGCTTACATGTGAGAAAACATGCATCAAAATGTAATGCAAATCTCTTCTGACTCTATTAACAGGGAGTGAGGGGGAGAGTAAGAACACTGGTGATTTCAAAGCACATACAACTGTAGCCAAACATATGGGTGTCTGAAACATTAAGCAGTGCCAGACAACCTCACAATTAGGACCTTGATTGTGCAACACTGGCCAGCATAAACTATGAAAAAACATATCAGCCCATCGTGCAGAGCCAGTGCTTGAGTAACAGAGAAGGCACACGTCTTCAGCTGGAGAACTGCTGAAGTAGAAATGGAGAGAGGAAAGCCTTGGGGTGGAGGAAGACACAAGATTAGATCCATTTCTCATGCACATGCACATGAAGTTTTGTTGGCACTCTGTTATCATTTGACACTGGACGCGTTGAATAGCTTTAAGAAATTAAAGCCATGCCTGGTTTCTGCTGGTGCTTTCGTCCTGTCTTCAAGATTCCAATGTATAATCCCTTTTATTTGGGAGTTTTTTTCTCCCATGAAGGAAGGGGAGTTAGGAAATAGAGCTAGTGTTAAGCAGAATATGTTATTCTGATAGTATGATTTCTGGGGTAAAAATAAATAATTAGAATAAGGAGCGCCTCAAGCTAAGAAGTCCTTGAATTGTTTAGGATAATAGAACAAAGAGCCATCAGACAACTTGATTCTTTCTGTCCCTCTCCCTTTTTCACTACGAACATGTGAAACGTGCAACAGGAAGATGTGAGACAGAGGCTAGTTTACAGCCTAGTCTCATAAAAAGTTGTCTGAAAGCCCAAAGATGACTCTGCAAGAGCAATCCAACAGACTGAAATGCTTGGAAAGCTTTGAAACAGGGATTGACAAGTCTGCCCATTTCAGATTTCTTCAGTCTTACATTCACTTTGCCCCAAATGTTGAAAAATCCTCCATGCTTAAGCTCAGTTTGTCGTAACCAATGAACACTTTGTACACATTTCTCCTAATATATCCATTTTTGTATACAGTTTTTGCTTGGAAAAGTCTACTGAAAATGCGGGAAAGTGGGAAGTTTGAAGGGAAACTGAGCTTGATTCACATAGTAGCTCGAAGTATGAAAATAGGTACGTTTTCATCAAAATGTAAACTGAAGGAATCTCTTCCCCATCCCTTGAATTGCCTCCCCAGCCCCAGAAGAAAAACAGCCCTGGTTGGATGAAAGGGATGAAGAAGAGCCATTATCTGAGGAAATGAAGACATTGCCTTGACCCATCTCACTGACAACTGAGCTTTTGCTGTTGCTGCTGCCACTGCCATCGGGAGGAGAATTTCAGTATAGTTCGGAACTGGGTAAGGGGTTAGGGTGGTTTACATGGTCCTGCACAGGACGTATCACACCTTCAGTCTGGAACAGTAGAGGCCATTCCCCTGAAGGGAGTTGTGCGTTTTTATGAACATGAAACTGTATTCATTTCAAAATATACCCATTTTCAGGATAACATAGGACTCGACAGACCTGCCATTTTCACTTATCCCCTGCATTCGGTTTGAACAGGGGAAAAACCCTCCATTTTTTAAATTTCCAAATTATGTTGAAACATGTGCATTTTGGTAAACCCTTATCAGAAAGAATTGAAATTCCACCTCATGTGCACAGGCCAGATAACCAGTACCAGGCTTGTCAAATAGCAGAGAAACATGAGGATCATGTCAGAAAAGAGTAGTGGCAACCATGACTTGGCATTAGAACCAGCCAGGGACACAAAACGAGACTGTTAAGAGCTGAGCACTCAAAATGCAAAGCTTGGATTGATGAAGAGATCTGTTGCAATGTATCCCCCACTGAATACTTTCAGTGTCAAGTTCTTTATATCCGAAAAATGAAGAAATGTGTGGATGTTGGTAAATTCCTATAAAAACTGAGCTGAAATGAAAAGCCTCACCTATCCCTAGTCTAAAGTCCCTTCTTTAAAGTCCTTAAAGGATATTTTCTCTTTTCTTTAAGAACAAGTTTTATTAACTTGGTTTAATGTGATTCAACTAGAATGTTGAACTAAAGATCGGTTAAAGAAAAAAGGCAGATGTAGACATTATACTAAGTTTGAAGATATGATAGTAGAAAAGGAAAAATAAGCCAATGTGTGGATGAAAGAGATAGTAAGTAAAATTTATGATACATAGTTAGAAGATTAATTATAGCAAAGAATTGTGAAGTAAAACAATCAATTGAGTGAATGGTATAGAGAAGTTTGGAATCTGGCTATTAATGACAAATTAGCTTGAGATATCAAAGTGAAAAGAATAATTTCAATGATATTTGGGTTGCATTTCTTGATTGCGTGTTTAAAAAGGGGAAAGGATTTGAAACTTCAGAGGAGTCAATGAAATTTTTGAAGGGGGACAAAGCTTTTTGAAAGAATTTTTAAAAGAAACTTTAACATGTATCCAGTGGTCCTAGTGGCGAGATGTACAGTGTTTTTCATGGTTCATTTTAATTGCATATTTATGTATTTTTAAAATTTTACTGTATGTTTTTCTTTCAATTGTTATCTACATTTTTAAATTAATAAAAAAAATTAACAAGGATTAGTTTTGCATTACAGAAAAACAAAATCCAATTGATGCTGCACTTCCAGAATGAAGTGGCATAGTCCATTTTAACTCCTCCTTCTGCCTGTTCACTCCCACTTCATTCTACTGTAGGGCTACAGTGCTTTTGCATTCATACCTGAATGTGGGCTTGCACAGGACCTCCTCCTCCACTTTACATAGGATGTAATATCTGGTGCAGATGGAATGTGTATGAAGAACTCTCTATGAATCTTTTACCCAATAAGCACTTCATAGAGGCAGCCCTATGAGTCTTTTATCCAACATACCTGGAGTGCTGGCTTGGGGGCTTGGGGGACCTGTAATGCTTCTGGGTTTCTAGTGCAGCCTCCCAAGGTTCCCCATAAAAACATAAAAAGATCCAATTGGGGTCAGTCCAAGGCTCCCTAGATGAACTTGCCCTTCAGGCTGAAAGAAGTTCTGTCCTCTGCTATTCACTCTTGGCACATGTTGAGATAGGCACATTTATTCTTTCCTGTGTTTGTGTGTGTAGAGGTTTATTCACTGAATGCACTGGACCTTATAGTTCAGGTGCTCTAATCCCACAGCTTTTGCATTTGTGAACAGAAAATCCAGGCCTCTTTTTAAAGTTTGTACTGACAATGCACTCTGACTTATTCTCCAAACTGATACAGCTTCTTAACGCAGTAAATTCATATTGAAATAAAGTAAGGTATTCTCTAAATTAAAATGAATACACTAAGTTTACATACTACAGGGAATAAGTACCTTATGTATTTTGCCTTGGGCAGGATCTGATGAATAGATATGTCGACATGCTTCTTTCCCTTATGCACAGCTGGAATTTGACTTTCAGTCTTCCCTGTAGCAGCAATTCCTACTGCCAAACAGACATGCTACTGTTCAGTTTAAAAAGCAGCCTTCCTGTTCAGCAGTGGGAAGTGCTACAGAGAAAGATTAATGCAAAGCTCCAGCTATGTGTGTGTGAGACAGAAATGTGTGCACACATCCCCATTCTTTGGATCCATGCCCTGGTATTTTTCTTCTTCCTCTCGCTTTGCCAAACAGATGAAGTTTTGCCAGCTTCTGGAGAACTATATTAGACTTGTATCTGAGACTTCCTCCAAGGAGCTCAGATGGAGTATATACCACAGCTGTGAGGTGAGTAAGGGTGAGACTTTGGCTTTATGGTGAGGAGAACAATCTGAACATACACCTCCCTGGACCAATTAGGAACAGGGGAGATTAGAATTTCTATTCACTTTGTGTGTTTTCAATCAGACCTTAACCAAATGTGCATTTTAATAAAATGCAGGGAAAGTATCCACAATCATAGAAAGTGAATAACAGATTCACCTACCCAGGCAGAGGCCTTTGACAGCATAGAACAGCTTTCACAACTCTGAGTTTGAATTCCTGTGTATACAACCATGTTAATCCTGAATTACAGTTGCCACCTCTTTCTTTCTGAAAGGCTCTTTCTCCTTAGCAGGTGAACGGCAGCAAGCAGAATGGCTCCACAGGAAGGGCTACTGAGTTGACGAGTACACGTGATGGGGAATTTCACTCAGATCCTTTTTGGATAAGAACTTGCCAACATTTACAAAAACATCATAGGCAAAATGGAAGCAGCCTGAGAAGAAAAACAGCAATTGTGGAATAAAGTAAAACTTGAAGTTTCTTTAAAAGAAAAACCTGAACATGAGAGAAAGGAAAACTTATTGAGTTATTTATCTCTATTCCTAACCAGTCCCTGACACAAGGGACAGTTTTTCTGTGTCTCTCAACTGATAACCTAGAGTTATTCCTAAAATTCTTTTGAGCCTTCTGGGATTCTAAGAAAAAGAGACAATTTGTTTGGGGGCCTGATCCAGGAAAGCAAACCAAACTGTTGTATATTCAGGGTAGGGTCGCTTGCAGAATTCAGTTTTCTTAAAATCCTGTTGAAAACGGCCTGCTCCACACATCTCAGTCTAACGTGTGGCTCATAACTTAACCATCCACCTGATTTCACACCCAGCTGTCAAGCAGAGCTTGACAGTTCAAATATATCAAAATGTACGTTCCAAATATACATTTTAAGGCATTGTTTTAAAATCACATACATAAGAGGATTACAAGTAAAAACACAGGAAGTGACATTTTGCTAATATATGTCTCCCCACACTTGATTGATTTTTAATTGATGGAAGCCTGATGTATCTCGTGTTTCCTTCACTGAAATCATGTTTCATTCTTTTTATATTCACATTTGTCCATGGAGGTTTTCTCTTCCCACCACCTTTTAAATAGTACCTTATGCAATGACAGCATTAGAATGGACCTTGGTGTGTTTTTTTCCTTAGCAGAATGTGCTTCTAATTATGCAATTTAGTGTCTCCAGGTTTTGCCATTTCCCACAATCCTCTCTCTGACTCCCAAAAGTTGTTGTAATATCTGGAACAGAATAGAACACGATATCATAGAAGGTAGAAGCCTTTTCACCTAAGACACTAGATCTATCAGATGCTTCTCCTCTTTTCCTTCCTATATGAAATCTATACTTTTGATTTATTTATTAGATACATTCTTACAAAAACATATTTTTGTAAACCATTTGTAAACAAATATTACTACTAAATTACTAATGTGGTTTTAATATAAGGATTTATTAATACATGCTAAGCACTCATTACAGATTTTCATGGAAAAAATGATAAAACATTATGTATGAAATGAATCATTAGCATGGACCATTAAGTCCTCTATTTTCATTTAATTGAATTTGTCAGTAGTACCCTCTTTAACTGAAAGCCAGTCATAACCACAAAATTAAATAATAATTAAAGAAACATGTATTCAAAGAGTTTTTTCGTAGCTAAGGTGCCATTTAACTGAAACATAGCAATTTAATGTAAATTGCCACCCAGGTTGGTACCTTGTAGAAAATTATACATCCTGGGGTTCATATATGTTTGCTTTATGCAAAGATTTTCACAGATGCCAGCAGGGATGGGCGAGTAATCCTCAGGGGATTCAAATGACTTTGGATTTCTACAAATCCAAACTGCAAATTCTGCAGTCCTCTGAGTTATATGGATTCCTCAGACTTGCAGTCAGAACCCCCCACCCCTTTCTGCTATTTCTCTCTCCCACACTTACTTGCTTGATGGCTTTAGTGGCCGTGGAGGCAGCAGAAGGCCACAGGAAACTTCCTCCAAGGATGTTTCCCGTGTGCCTAGTTGAGGTAGCCTTGGGAAATGTAATTTTACTAAGGGGTTCTGACATCAGCCTGAATAGGAGTACAAGGAACGTGAGCTCCTGCTGCCACCATGACCACAAGATCCAGCAGTCAGGTGGGGAAAGCTTTAGAGAGAAGAGCTTTGTGTGTGAAAAGCAAGAAGATTATGGAGATGAGAAGGAAGAAGAAGGCTTGAGGGAGGTGGAGGAGAAAAGTCATAGGAAACTGCCTGGGCATCCCATGTGACATAGCTAGGGGAACAGTGGGTGTGATTTGGATCATAACTGACTTGGAATTAACTGAGCTATTTTCTGAGTTAGTGGGCAAATAGATGAGTTTCTCAATCTCTATTACTAGCCTATTCATGGGAGACACGGTGGGAAGCCCATTTCAAAATAAAACATTAATTTGAAATATGGTCTCATCCTGGGCAGACGTGTACTATTGGCAATGTTGTCTACATGTTCCTTCCCATTTCCCATAAAAAACAAGAATTGTGCAGGTACAGTTCTTGTTTTTTATCTGTTTCAGGCATTATCTTCCATATTTCTCCCAAGAATTATCCTGTCTGTTTCTTATACCAGATACTTTCCCCTCCAGTCTAGAGAAACTGCCAATCTTCGATCTGTGTGGACTGGGGGGGCACTTTGGGTGCTTTTATCCACTTGAATATATGTAATACAATCAGGGAAGGGAAGGGAAGGGAAGAGGAAGGGGAGACAGAAAAAGAGAAGCCAAACAGAAGGAATAGATCCTCTTTATCTTTCTACTATTTTTTTCCATAAATCCACTGCTAGTTCTTTAAAATAAGTCAGTCTGGAAGCACTTGCTTCACTATTCCAGAACTTGTGGCAATGTATTTACCCAAATTAAAATCAAATGTTTAGTAGATATTTCCACAATGGCATTGAAGATGTGAGGTTTTCTAGCAATGCTAAAGTAATTGTTTTTGAATATATTTGCACATAGTCTCCACATATTATCAAACTGTACTCTTATGATGTCATAATGGGTCATCATCAGAAACAGATGCATTGTGCTGATTCTGGCCATTAGTCACTTCCAAAAGTAGCATAAACTCTGATTGTCGTCCACACATAGGAGGTGTCCCCAAGTGCTCAATCACTGTGGAGTAGGAGAAGAATCACGTATTGTGTGATGCCAATATTGTACCAGCAGCACCAGCTGCCAGCATGTTCAAGGCCCAATTTAAGTGCTGGTACTGGTCTTTACATTCTTAAACAGGGACTGCCTTCAAGCTGCTCAGCTATGAGCTCAATATTAGAACTTCTGCTTCTGCCACAGCTGTTGTGCTGGTGGATATGAGGTGTGGGGCCTTTCCATGAGGGACACCCTCTTCCAGTCTGTGGAACTAGGTTCCAGTAGATGCCCGCTTCAGCATTGCAGCCCCAAAGACTTACTGATTCCCCTGATGTATAACTGAGTCACTTGATTTTGATTGCAATATTTTTTTATCATTATTCCACTCTTATTTTATTGTATCTGGTGTTTTAAATCTTTGAATGCTTCCTTGAGAGAATTTCCTGAAGATAACTTACACATTTTAAACAAACTTAATGTACACAGATATGAAATGGGACTGGTCACCCATAGCTTTAAACAATGCTTTCTTTCTTATTGGGTGCGGCCCTGAGCACTCCCACCCTGAACTTACTAGGGCTCAGGGAGAAATCCATTTGGTTCACTTCCCAGTGTGAACTTACCAGATTGGCACTACCTAAACCTAAATGTGGACCAGAATACCATTCTTGAAGAAGTCCATGAATTTCCAATGTTCTCAATGCATTTGCCCCAACCCCAAGTCATAAAAACTGCATGCATTGAAACAGTGCACACGAAAAATGCATGTTGTTCAAACGTCCATGCAGAAATGAGCATATATGAACATATATACAGAAAAATATTAAATTCTTAGAAATGCATACAAACTGTCAATTTTTTAAAAAATGCACAAGCAGACATACACGTTGCACAGAATAAATAAAAAGGAACAATTTGATGCAGAATTCAAACACAAAGAACTTCACATTAGAATCCAGCTCAACATCCTGACAGTTCCAACTTAATAGCTCTTCTCAAGGTCCTTAGCCTTGATTATCTACTTATCACAGGAGCTTTTTCCTGCAAAAGAGTCCAGTTCTTTTGTTTCTTTGCCCCTAGAGAATGCCTGCGCAGCTCGTCAAGAACCGAACTGAATGCTGACCACAAGGCATAAATGATGGTGTACCTGGAACTTCATAACACCTCTTTTCTTGTTATTTTATTTCCTTGAAGGGAACGACAAAGGGAGAGAGGATGAACAGTACTGAACTCTTGCTGACGTGATATACATACCAAGGGACCATGTTCTGCATTGGTGGGTAAAGTTGTGCAGCATTGCCGTAGACTAACCTTAAGGCATAAGGGAGAACAACTTTAAGGCCCAGCAGGAACTGAGCCTGCCCTTAGTACTAGGTAAGCTTCCCCCAACATGGTGCCTACCAGATGTTTTGGACTACGGTGCTCATCAGCCCAAACCTATTATTTAGGATTTGTACTCTGGATGCTGCTGTGTTGGGTAAGGCTGCTTAACTACGTGAGACAGAGACATCTATAACGTGAGTGTTTTGATTCTGCTGGAAAGATTCCTTCTTGCACAACCAGCAGGGGGAGGCAAGATGTAAGGAAATATATTTAAAAATCTCACTGCAGCAAGTATTCTTTAAAAAAAAACTGTAAACCAACCTATCTAAGGTATGAAATGCAATACGTTTGCGTTAAAGTTTTAGCTCTCTGTATAATATCAGTTAGGGGACCCTGGTGTACAGTTGCAGGGCAGCTGTAGCTTTATAGCTCATATTATTTGTGTCGCTTTTTCCCAGCTGTGAACACAAAACTTCAGTCAACATTAATTTCAAAGTAAGCTAAACATCATAAAAGCATGCCATTTCACTTAAACAAAGTGTGAGCTTTACCAAGAAAATTCGCTGTTTTCAACTCCCCAAAACTAATAGCTTCGCTGACATAACTGACTACTGTGGTGATGAGAAGCAATGAAGGAAATTCACAGATCAGATCCACGAGTCCAAATTAGTTTCAGGTCTGTATATTTCACAGCAAGGTCTTGGTAGCACTCATGCCATTCTTGCTCAAGCTTCCATTCATTGCTGTAGAAGGTTCCCAAGAAAACCTCTTGGTAGGATCTTGATCGAATATTCTATCAAGGATTAGTTCCTTGACAAATGGATAAACATTCTGAAATATTTTGCTAAATTAAGATAATTACTCCATCAGAGAGAGACTATTTCTTTCATCTTACATGGCTACATTATTTTTCCTTTAGTTTAAGACAGACTACAAAGACCTGGATTCAAATCTTCTGGATGAATTCAAGCCAGCCATTCTCCCACAGCTCAGGATTTCCTGAGGACCCAACAAACACATCGAGATATGTTAAAGATGATAAAATGTGGGGTTTTTATAAGGACTTAACAACATTTGACCAAGTGATCTTAAAATCAGATGAGAAAATGATGAAAAGATTGTATAATTTCCTTTTGGATAGGAGAATGGAAGATGAACAAGTTAAGGAAACTATGATAACATGGGCACATAATTTTGGATACAATATTGAGCTACAGAAATGGCAAGAGCTGTGGGAAAGAAATATTAAAGTAACATTAGCAACCTCATATAAATAAAATCTGTATAAAATGTTTTATAGATGGCATCTATCACCAGACAGATTAGCTAAGATGTTTCCAAAAATGTCAAATGGATGTTGGAAATGCAAGCATAAACCGGGTACTTTTTATCACGTGGTGGACTTGTGACAAGGCTAAAAAATACTGGGTTAAATACATAAATGGCTTGAGGGAATGTTACAAAAACCTCTAATAATTAAACCTGAAGTTTTCTTATTAGGCATTGTACCTGAGGATGTTGGTAATCAAGCAATATATTTGATTTTACATGTAATGGCTAGGATTGCATTTGTCCAACACTGGAAGAGTGAAAAACCACCTACCAACGAACTGATTTTAAAAAAGATCTTGGACTGTGCCGAAATGGACAGATTGACTTTGTCTCTGAAGGAGAAAGAGGATACAGACTTCTATCGAACTTGGAATTCCTTTTATTATTGGCTAGAGAAACGGGACTATGCATAGACTTAAATATGTTTATGGATTACTATTAAAAAAAAAAGTACAGGGGGCCGACCCAGTAGGTCTGATACTTTTGATGATTGATGATTTTTAGTTTCTTTTCGTTAGTTAGCAGAAAAATAACAATAAAACTTACTTTAAAAAAAAGTTAATTCTGCTACAAGCTCCTGGTGGATGCTACAAAAGAAATAGAACCCATAAGATGTGATTGCTCAGTGGCATGATTTAGTTTGTCATCTTTTGCAAATTTGCCAAATCATTCCCACTTCACACCTAAGTGTGGGTTTATGCTAGGGAGTGGTTAAAATGTTGTTGGGTTCAACTTGTCAACATTGCCTCAGCAATGAGACAGAAAGTACTTGAGGTTTTAAAAAAAACAAATGGGAGATAAAGCACAAACGTACCTTCCTCTGCCCTGAATGTTTCACTCATAAAGGATGGATTGGAATTCCTGCACATTGGCAAAGGTTGCTGCATCTCTTTCCTTTCATCTCTTTCTATTTCCTTATACCGTGGTCCTCTTCATTATCCCAGTATAGTTGTACCGATTGTATTTGGTCAGGTATAGACGGACAAGAATTTCATTTAGTCAGCACTTACCAAAAGTTGCAAATTTTCTAATAAGCAGAATGGAAACTGACAGATCTGTATTCCCCAGGTTTACACTGTTGAATTTTTCCCTGTGTTTGTAGCAGCACTACTGTATAAATGAACTGGGCAGTGAATAGCAATGGTAACCCAGAAGCCATGCCTTGGACTGCTGCTGGCTTACTGCATACACCGTTTGGTATCTTTTCTTCTTGGTTCCATAAAATTTCCTGTTAGAATGGGGATTTTATGACAAAGTCTGAGACATATAGGGCAATCCTGAAAGGCATTCATCCTATTTATATCTGTGTGAAGATCATGGCCAAACACACTTGCAGAACGCAATGGTAAGTCTTCTCCAAGAGTGAGTCCTTCTGCTCGAGAGTGAGACAATAACCTAGTTGCACCAAAAGCAGAAATTCAGCGGGATTGTTGTAATTCAGAAAAAGATAGGTGGCAAATCTGCTCGATGAAGCCGGTATTTGTGAAGTTCTATACAAAGGGCAACACCTGAGTGCCAAGGCAGTAGGGCCACAACTGATTCTGTTCTAAGGGTGGCAATGACTGCTTGTCCAAAGAACATTTGTGATTAATTTAGGAGGCTGCAAGAATGTCCATTTCTGGATTGGAACAGGTCAGTAGAAGGCCTTTCCACTTGTTTCTTGTTTTTAGAGGAGGTGCCAGATCCCCATCACACGATGGAATTGGCAGTAGCCCCTGCTTCCAGCATGACCTTCTCGGATACTGCCAAAGTAACCGAAGCGACATCTCTTAAGCTAACTTGTGGCATCTTAGGGTATCATCTTAAGGTACCACATATTAGTAAACATTCTGACACAGTTCTTGGAGGCCTGAACATGTTTGACCAAATATATATATTAGCCTGACCCAGTAATTCAAGGAGGACTTGTTTCATGCAATGGGTTACCTCCCAACTTTGTTCCCCTAATTTTCCAATGAAGTTATTTGAGACTTAATACAGATTTCTTAATACAGACTTCTTCTGGTGAAATATGCATGGAATTCTACTGTTAAGCTTTGATTGTCCTTGCCCCCCCCCCCAAGAATTGTAAACTGTTGGATCACCTTTTGACTAAAGCATCTTTGGAGTTTATATATATACTCCCATCTAGAAACCTGACATTAGGAGTGAATGGCAAACGACACAGCCATTTTTTTATTGTAGCAGCCATTTTGAATGTTCCTAAATGGAAAAAAAACACCTTAGGATAGGACTTTCTGGAAAAAATAAAATAGTGACAATTTCAATTCTTTTCTTTCCCAAAACAAACAAACAACCATCAGAACAAAACAGTCCATTTTGAAATGGATCTTTTCCATTCTGTCCAGCCCTTACTTATCTATGTACTTTGAGAGAAGACACACATTAAAATGCATGTTTGATACATACTTTGAGTACAATCTTTAAAAAAGCAGGAGAAACCAAGCAGGATTATGAGTAAATATACCACCATGGTACAGACCTGAAAATTTGCTCACAGGCCTTAGTTTGGAACGGTGACATGTACTGTGTTGACTTCCCGCCATATGTTTTAGGCTAAGAGGGCTGTCCTAGGTTTCTAGTCACTGCTTTTAGCTTTGAACTGAGTTCCCTGGGTATGTACCTCAGGAACAGCTCCACCTGATGACACAGAATTTGACCTCCTGATTTTTCCTCACTTTCCTAATTAATTCATTGAAACTCACAACAGCCATCTTATCTTTTCTGCGTATCCCAGAAAAATCTCGCTACATGATCCTAAACCATGCCATTTACTAAATTTATGCACATAAATATAACATAATCAAATGCTGTTATGTATTCCCTTTGTTCCTTTATGTTGATACACTCTATACAAAAATATTTAATACACTTCTGAAAAGTATGATGCCAGTGATAAAGCCATTTTACAGCTTCATAGATAATTTATGAAAGTTTCTAACAGTGATCTTTAATGTCATAACAATGTGACAATGCGAACATTCATGTTTGCATAGTGTCCACATACAATATGAATACTGAATATTAATATGAAATGAGAATTTGATTCTTTTTCCAAAAAAAAGCACAGAAAAAGTTACAACTTGCTACATTGTCTACGCATATTATGCTATGAAATGCCACAGTATTTTTCTTAACGTGGGTCCTTTTACAGTTAAAGCAATGAATCTTGACATACTTTGAGTGCACGTGGGATTTTACTTTGTGTGTGTGTGTTTTATGTACCCTCTTTCATCACAAGGGAAATACAGGGACTGAAAGATGATTTATTACTTACAATGTTTAAAGGTATAAGATCACCTTTACATCCCACGGACTCAGATGATTCTATTTTATTACTATTTCTTTCATTTCTATAGTGCCTAATAGTTTAGGCTCCTGTATTTGAAGGCCAAACTACTTATTACATTAAGCAAGGGTTTTGCACATTTGTTTCCTTGCAAAAAGGATCTGGAAGATGATTCAAATCAGGATGCTGCCACCAGGAAAGGAAGGATTTAACCCTGTCTCCCAGTTCAGTTTTTTCTTCCACATGTCTCTCACACCCACCTTCTATTTGCCACCTCCACAAAACATACTTTCTGTAGGAAATAGCACCTTCCAGAACAAATAGAAGTCTTGGGAGGCCGCTTCTATGCAGAAATGGTGTGGGGAGAATCCAAATCACCACAGATTTGGATTACGGCACCTCCGGCCACTCTTTTGCAAAATAAAGTGGGAAAAGGTTGCTCTCAAACACTTTAACAGTGTGCCTAATTTAAGATGTCTTCTGACATTTCATCTTATGATTTACACAACTGCTCACCTACTGAAGCAGACATCATCATCATCTATATATAGTGAGCCAGATTTTAGTTTAAACTGGGAGAATTTCAAAGTGTCTGTCCAGAACTCAAGCATGACTGGTTCTCTTCAGCCCATCCCCTTGTTTGTTGAGAATATTTATTTCCCACCTTCCCCTGAAAAGCTCAGGGTGGTAGCCACAAAGGTAAAACCATAATGCAACCAATTTGAACTATCCCTTACCATATAATGATAAAAATCCAATGACAGTTAAAATGATTTCCATGAAACAGTTGTCAACAAATATTTTCTTTAAAAGGGTGAGTTTCACAGCTAATGAAAGGTCACAGGAGTGGAGTTGAGCTGTGATCGCCATTGAAGGAAGCCAAAAAGAAATCCAGCTGCTGGAACAGTTGGGTGGTGGCACCAAAGATGATTCAAAGATGATTCAGGAAAAGCATGTATAGGAAAAGACAATCTCTGGATATTCTGGTCCTAAACTGCAAAAACCATTGAAGGTCATCACATCTTTATTTTATCCCTTGTGTGATTGAAACAGAACTTTACAAGGAATAAACACTACCAAAAATTCTCCAGCATTGACATGATGATCTGTGTGGTTGTATCAGTGTTCTTTTCAAATGACACTTTACTGATGGCACAGTGTGATGCGATTCAGCATTCCAGACACCATTTTTGCCTCCATTCCATTGATCCTTATAGAGTATCTGATCGCATTAAATGGGAAGCCAATGTGTCCTTAACATTACAACTTTCCAAAGTATGTCTATGTAGTTTGACTATGTACAAAGTATGACTATGTACTTTAGCAACCAGCTGCTATCTTCATTTTCTGTAGCATATGCTACTCATCTGCACATGGGAATCTGCTGGTCTGCTAAACATACCCAAACCTGGTTATCCTGAGATGCAAAAAAAAAAGGCAATAAGCACTGAAGTTCCTTAAGAGTGAGGGGAAGATCCATCCATGCACTGTGACTACAAGAAAGAAAAGAGTGAAGCATTGGAGATGAAGGCACTCCTGTTTGATGTTTTGTTTCTCTGTTTTGGTTTTCCTCTGCTGTCAACTTTCATTTCTGGTTTCAGTCATTCAAACTGTAGCGCAAACATGCGTGCACATGGGCTGGCCCACTATGCTCAGCTCCTCCATTGTCTTGTGTTGTAATCACACTGCAGTGTAGCATGCGCTAAGTAGTGGGACCCTATGCAGGAGACTGTAGAAAAATAAAATGTAAAAGGATGACCACAAGGGCTTGCCTGCTCCGGGTGGTGTTCCGTCTGAGCAGAACAGATGAAGTGCTAGGTGCAGCTTGGCACTTTGCCACGCTGCACTGGCAATGTTTCCCTTAGGTCCGAGTGGCACAACTCCTCCTCAGGTGCAGGGTAGATGTGTTTTGTAATGCAGGCCTAGCAGATTCAGGTTAAACAGAATGAGAAACTCAGATAAGCGGGCAGGGAGAACCACATGGTCTCCCTGGCCCTTGACAGGATGCAATTCTGGCTTGCTCACCTGCCTGGGTATTTGGGTGGGCCGTGTCCTAGCCCACTTCTGCCATTAACTTTGTCTCAAAATGTGATCTGGCAGTCCCGCAGGCAAACCAAGAAACTGCTGCCACTAAAGGCAGGGCAGCTGCAGCTACATAAGAACTGTATGTAAAAGGTTTGTGCTGCTTAACACTCATTTTATTTATTTGTTTTTTGTTTGTTTGTTTATCTGAAACATTTTTATCCCGGCTAGATTGATCTCTATATGAGTGTGTGTGTGTGTGATATGAATATCAAATATCTTTCCTCACCCTCCAATGCAGTACCTCCTTCAGCCACTCTTCTGCCACAAGCAACATTTTCTGAGTGATCTTTCAGCTGGTCCAGGCCAGGTACATCAGCCCAGATCCTACAGAGGACATGTATGGCCATCCAGACTGCACCCTTATCAGCCTTTTTAAAAACCTGAAACTTCATTTATCAGCATTTCAGCAGGAAAGCAGCTCCTCGCCCTATTTTGAGAAGCTGCTCAGGAAAACACCTAACAATATCAATGGACATTTGGGATTTGATTTCATAGTCCACCCTTAATAATGTTTCTAGTGCAAAAAATGCAGCTTATACCATTTCAAAATGCTGAAAAGTTTGATTTGGCATTGGCTTATGCCTTCCACAAGAAGACAGTCTTTTAGCAGGTACTGATGCATTCCACTTCTCTGCGCCAGTTCAGCTGAGAACTGGGTTTTCAAAACCAACACTGTTTCAGCTAGCGGGGCAGCTGTGGTTGGGGCCCTCAGGCCAACACCTGGGACCCAGCAGCCAGAGAATGGCAGGTGATCGGGAAGTAGACACAGAAACTCTGTTTCATTCACCCATAATGCTGCCATGAGTGAAATGAGTTTAAAATGCAAAACTGCAAGCATAGAGGCTGTTTTTTAATCAGGGTTGGGAAAAAGCTTTCTCGTTATTATCATTGTCATTATTATTTAACCTAAACAAAATGGAAGAAGAAAAAAGTATATGTAAAATAAAGTAAAATAGAATAAAGATTAATAGAATAAATCAGGGTTGGGAAAAAGCTTTCTTATTCTAACAAACCTGGAGTGTTGAAGTAAAGGTCCGTCACTGAATACTGGTTGGGCAATGAGAAGTGTTTATACATCACACACGAGAATGATCTGATGGCCCTGTAAGAATAGGGCCATCAGAGTGGGATGGTGTAACTACTTGGGGTCCTGCAACATCAGTGGTTTGGACCTGATCGACTTCATGGCCCCTTCTAATTCTACTATTCTATAAATGTGTTCCAGGGAACATGGGGTTGCTTGGGAAAACACTTCTGAACTTGGAGGCAGAAGAAGGGGGAGCTGGAATCAAACCCTCACCCTTCCCTGCTTGTACCTGGTGTGGGAAGACCCATGCCAGCTGCTCTGCAAGGTTTGAAACGTGACCTTGGAGGAGAAGGAAAGGGGCATTCTAGAAAGTACAGAGGAGAGGACAAGCCTCCTCCTCCCCCCTCTTCAAAGCAGCCTTACTAAATGGGCTTTCCAGAGATAATTTCCAACGACTGAGGGCAGGGAAGCAAATAGTAGCTCATCTGGCCCTTCTGGCAGGGCAAAGGAACCTTGGGATCCTCTAAATTTGGAAGCTTTCAAGCAAGGAAGGTACATTCAATAGAACTGAACCCCAGTGCATACAGTCATCTAAAAGGCAACTATATAAACCACGAAGCACAAGCCTTAAAATGATCTGCCTGCACTACCAGTTTCTGCACCCAGGGGATCTCCTCTTTGTTGCAGGGGGATGTTTTGCTTTTTCTCCTTTCCACTTTCCTGTACAGCAATTCCATATGTTTCTTTTCTTGGTATTTTATGCTGCCTTAAACAATCCATGTAAAACTTTGCTTTTTCTAAAAAAAAGTCCCAAACTAAGATTGCCCTTCTCGTTACTGAACCTGAATTTAAATCATTGCTCTGAGGATTAGAGCGGTGTTGGTATACCAGGCCGGCAGGCTGTATAATATTTCAGATAATGGTTAGGACTTTTGACTCCAGTCCATGTGATATAGTCTTTGCTTTTTTACATTCCAGGTGAATCATCAAGTGGATAATGAAGCCTTGCATAGGCCTTTCCATTACGCTTCTAGTCTGATGAACAGAAGGCCTTCCTGGTCGATCCAGATGCAAGAGTGAAGCATGCTTGGGGAGGGTTGCCAGCTTTTTCTTTTTTACAGGCTCTGCTTCCTGTTTTTTAACAAGCAGAGATTCAGCAAGTAAAGCTTTTGCTGGCATGGAAGCGGGTGGTAGAAGATTAGGCCGCCGTTCCAAGGCTAGTTGAAGGGCCAATTCTAAAAAAATGTTTAAAGCTAGTTCATTGATTTCACTGGGGTTAAGCAGGTTTAAATTCTATGTTGGATGGTTGGTGGCAATTGATTGCATGGAACTTAAATGCACCATTTCTGCAATGCCTGTTATCCCAGGAATCCCAAGCTGTGTTTGTCAATAGGACAGCTCTGTTGATAGCAGGGGTTTCCCTCTGCCCCCAGAGCATTTGGCTCTTAACAGGAAGCAGCTCTCCCGCCATCCTCCGGAAATGTGCAAAATGACTTAAAAATAGAACTGCCCTTGTTACTGTGGACAGAAACTGGGAATGAAGGCGTAAGGTGAAGAAAGACCCCGTCACCATTCTCAAGATTCCTGGGTTCAAAATTGCAATTGACTGCTCCGAAAAATGGAACAGTTATAAGCTGGAAAAGTTGCATGCCAAATAAAATATAGGTACGAGGATTTATAGCAAAAGCTTAAGGAAGGGGCCTTGGAGTCTCCTGTTTCTTAATGCCACATGTGTACTTGATTCACCGTATTTATTTTTTTGCTGCTGCAGCCTGAACAGAAGTACCCAGGCACTCTGTGATCTGTATTCTTTGGATTCCAGTTGGCTTAGAGAAAGAGAAAATGACCAATAGCCATGCATTCTGGCTAAGAAAAGGAGGATTATTTTGGCCCTTTCAATATTTCTTATCTTGTTCAATGTTCTACCACATGCAGAGTCTTCTACTTAAAGGTGATGTTTGTACTCACCTTAGATGACAAAGAATGAAAAGATAAGACCTGAGTATCCCACTGAGATTAAAATCCTTATGACTTGCCCATGCTAAGCTCTAAAAGTAGAAGCCTTTATTCAGGCCTTCAGTACTGTCATGGTTGGGAATTTTGCGTGTCTTAAAATATGGATCATATCCTCTTAATGGTTCATTTTTATTGCCTTTCCTTCTGTATTCATACTTTTAATTGTCCAGTTTAAAAAGTGTAGTTCAGACTGAAAAGGCTGCTTTATAGCTTATCTGAATGTCAAAATTCTTTCCACTGGGAGCTGTCCTTTAAACTGAATGCAGAACTATTTGGTCATAGAGTCGGTATTTATTTAACATGCAGAGTAAAGTGTCCTCTCTCTGAATGGGTTGGGGAATATTAAAAATGTTCAGATAATTAGAAGTTCAGATGAATGACATTGCTATAGAGGTACATGAAGGGCACAGCAAATTAGGAGATTAGTTTTCTTCTGTGCCAGTCACTTATTACTGTTATTTTGTAATGAAGAACTTTTCATGAAATCAAATAGTTAAGGCAAATCATGCTATAGCTTGATCATTATGAAACTGTATGAATGTGATTAGTAAATCAAAAAGCAGTGTTGCCACTTCTTTCCGATGGGTGTCCAATGCCTTAAACCAATCCAAGGTGCTAAAAATCCAAGAGGTAGAGCTTTTGTCCATTACTTCATTTCCTCTCAAGAAAAGCTTTACCTGTACCATCTTAGACACTACATAAAAGTGTGACTAACATAACAGAAACATGGATATGGAAGAATTTCATCTGGTTCCTATAGAGAATTTCTCATGTTTAAACAAGTATTCAGACTAAAATCAGTTTTGTTTTGAAATCCACACTTTTCCAAATTTTGTAATGGAGTTATCCAATAAAATAATGCATAGAAACACATATATTATATAAAATAATGTTTGAAAGGTATTCTATGAAGATGCAAAAACGCACACAGGACACACATACTGGAAAAATATACACAAAAATGCATGATATCAACATTTGGGATGAACTGAACTTAAAACTGTAAAAATAAGAAATCCACACTGACAGATTTCCCTATTCCTAGAACAAACATTATCAGTCATACTAAAAGTCCTACTTATAAGTTTGGGAAATACAAGCTACAGTAAATGAGCCCCTTGATCTCATAAAGCAGAACCTTTTCTTTCTTTCTTTTCCTTTCTTTTTTACAAAAGTGGGCTAAAGAGCAATAAATGGTTGCGGTGACAGCAATAAATATTACTGTCACCGCTAACCAGAAAATACTTAGCACACACAAATTATTTCAACAGCTTCTTATTGAAAAATTGAAAATTGTTATCAACAAGCAAGGCCTATCTGATAGGAATTCAAAGCCAAGAGACAAAACATCAAAAAGTTAAACTTTGTGCAAAAATTCCCATCTCTAGGCACTTTAACCTGAAAAGAGGCATAAAGATAAACAGCCTCTTAGGTCTAAGACTTCTAGCCACTGTGCCCTGTTGCAGCACAGTGACAAAGGAGACAACAGCTGGGGAAAGCCATGTGTAGAATCAAACTCCCGAAGCACACAATGCATCTGGGTGTGCCTCTGCACTCACATTATGATATCCAGGCCCTGCTCTGAGCTTGGAACAAGTACAGCCAGCACCAAGGTGGCCATGAGTGGAACCCTGCTCATCAGGACCCAGCTGATGATTGTCCCTGAGCACCTCCTCTTCAACGTTTCAACAGACTTGTTCCCTTGCCTTTTGCCAGGCAGCAGTGGTGGTAAAGAGAGCAGCATTAGATGCCACTGCCTGCTTGCTTACTGGCCCTCCATCAAGCAAGTGGCAGTAGTGATGAGAAAAAGGAGGAGAAGCACGGTAGGTGGTGACCATGCTGATGCGAATAAGACTCATGAAGGAAAGGTGCCTATTATGGGTGTCTTTCTGAAGGATCCTTACCAATTTTCACTGGAGCTGGGCGGCCTAACTAGGTTGAGGGTGTTCAGCTCTGATGCAAATATTTCTTTGCCTTTCCCATGATTTTACTTTTCTGAGATATAATCTTTGTTCAGCCAGTATCAAGTAAAACCTACCAAACCAAACACAATCCACCAGCCACATATTACAGCTGGTTAGATAATGGTTAAGTCACCTTTCTCCTGCCCTGCTTGGAGTTCCAAGCAAGTAAAATACAGCAGACAAAATTAGCTAGAATTGCAATCTTATACATAGTTACCTTAGTGTAAGCCTTGTTTAGGGACTTACCACTGAGTAGCATGTGCAAGATTACACAGCTGCTGCTTTTCGGATAAGGAATAATTCCCAGTGCATATTATAACCACAAAAATGTTGTTTCTAAAGAAGTGGTATCTCCAAGCATGACACAAATTCCATACAACTGGAGTGTGTGGAGATGCACTTAGAATGATTAATTAATTAATGAACTTATATCAATTATATCCTGCATCAACAACACTTGCTGCCAGTCTGCTTCCAGGCATAATACAGGGTGCTGGTATTTATCTGCAAAGGCTTAAATGGGTTAGAAAATAGGCATCTGAAATTCTACCTTCTCTCCTAGTTCAAGATTTTCAGATGCCCTTCTGCATGTGCCACGACCCAGAGAAGTTAGGGAATACCCTATGGGTGCTTCTTCGTAGCAGGATCCTGGGTATGGAACTCTCTCTCCAGAGAAGCTTGGCTGGTCTCGTCTGTGCTACGTTTGAGGCTGTTGAAGCTGTTGTGTTCCACTCTGCAGCTTGATATGTCCACACACAACCACAGAACATGAGAACTAGAGTTGTGGGCATAGAAACAGGGGAGGTGCAGGCTGCAGAAGTGGAATCATGGTCCTTAGGCTGGGGGTGTGCAAGGAAGCCACCCAGAGTTTGGAATCCACCAGATTCCTTGGACTTGGATCTGCAGCCCCTAGCTCGCTTTCACAGAGTGCTCACTAGGGGTCAAGGCCCACGTGCCACACAAGCAGTGCCTGCTTGCCTGCCAGAAGCAGCCACTCAAGCAGAGGCACCCCTCACCCTGGAGAAGGCTGGTGGTGGGGTACTCAATCAAAGGGGCTCCCCCAGGAGCCCTCCCACCCTCCCGCAACTGCCATGCAAGCAGCACCCTTCCTCTGCATCAGCTAGAGCCACCTTTTGGGTTGCTGCTGCCACACAACAAGGTTGCCAGTTGCACAGCCGAGGCTCCACAATCATTCCTAGACTTCTTCTCAGCCTGGGTTGCTTTACAAGACTGGGCTGAGCACAAGAGGATGCCCATGGGTGCTTGGAGCAAAGGATCCTGACAGCATTCATCCCAACCCTACCTGAGGCGGTCAGTTGTCAATGCGAGGCAGAAAAGTGATAATGGAGAGAGGGTGAGAGAGAGAACCTAGGAGGGATCATCCCCAGCAGGAGAAGTGGATCCTTTGCATGGACCAGTCCTGGGACCGCCTGCATGCAAAATATGAGTGATCTCCCCAAGCTAGGCCTTCTTTTGCAGCCTGTGTGCTTCTGATACCTCTGAGAGGGTATAGAGACTGGGACACTGCTTAAAGGAGTGCTGTGTGGCATAGAAAGGGAGACTAACAGGAAAGTCATTGTTAGTTGTGCCACTGGAGCTCAGGCAGTGAGAGCACTGTGACATCATTGTCTATGATGTCATACTGTACTGCCTGAGGATACTTCCTCATCACGGTGAGTTCTAGGCAGTGGTGAAATGTGATCATAGCCACCCTGATTGTTTGGCTTTGGCCAAGGGGCATGTCTGTTATTTTTACACCATTTCGGAATGTTTGGAGTAACCTGTCGTCTCCTCACCACTGGGCTGAGCCTATGCAGGATCTGGTGGTTACAGCATCCCACTTCATGTAGTAGAACTGAAGGGTATAGGTTTGTTCCACTGGTCGGCACGCCATCAGGGGTATAACGTTACATAAAATAAATTGCTAATTTAAGAGTAGGATAAATTGTTCTTTTGCTTTGGGTTCAGAACTTTCACATTTCTGCAGAGTGCAATCTAAGATAAAGCTTCTTAATAAAATACATGTCCTTGTAGCATTCCTACATTTGGGTTTATGGTGGGAGTTATTGGCATGCATCCAGTCTTCCACATGAAAATCTAAGCTGCTTGTGTAAGTGTAGAATTTACCATTGGGTCTTAAGTTTTTATTTGGCATTTTGCCAAAGATGTTATGTATTTAGCTAGGAAAATTGCCTAGGAGTTAATTGAGAGGAAAACAGTAATATACATCCACCCCCACTAGAAAGGGACAGAAAATGCTATGGGTATGCATATGATGTTTATTCTAGGTAAAAGCCCATATATGAACATAGCCAAGAATTACTAGAAAGCTGAGATTTACAGTTTCAAAATCAACCATGGGACTATTTGCATGATTGTTCCCTTTAGTCTCTTTAATATTGCAGCTCCCATTGTTACAACTTTCTTGAAATGCCCCCCTCCCGTCGTCACAGGGTTCTTTGCAGGGAGTGGACAGCAAAAGCCCATGTACTTAACAAGTTGGCATGATATTCATACACAGCATTATATGAATTATACTATCCATTGGCTATTTTAGTCCACCCAATAACAACATTCTTTGGGTACATCACATGATAAAAGAACATAAACAGGGCAGAGTAAAAACAGCAAGGTCAATAATTGGCAAAACAAACATGGTAGAAAGTATATAAAAGCAGTCATTCAAGCACATTAGAAACAAATCTGAACTGTAGCCTAAAATCTAAAATGCCTGGGAGAAAAGGGATGTCTTTGCGCGAGGCCAAAAAGCTTGCAGTGTGGCCGCTAAGCAAATTTCCTTGGGGAGGGAATATCATAAGTAGGACGCCACACCCAAACAGCTACCTTTTACAGCCACCTGTTAACTTCCTCTGGTGGGGGTCCTTGGAAGAGGAACTTTAAACATGATCTGAGAGTCTGGTAGGTATATGTGGAAGGAGACATCCTTTTAGGTACTTTGACACCCAGATGTTTAGAGCTTTGAAGGTCAACATCAAGACTTTGAAAAGATCCCAAAAACAGATGTGGAACCAGTGCAGTTGACAACAAATAGGTGTCACAGGGGTGTGTTGACCAGCACAAGTTAGTAGCCTCATAACTCTATTTTTGTCTAACCTTTTCCGCCCGTCTATGAACCAGTTTCAAAAGTAGTCCCATGTGCAAAATCTTGCAGTAATCCAACCACCATGTACCAGGATGTGGAACACCGCTACCATTTCCCCTGGCAGCTAGCATATGTGTCTCAGGTGAAAAAAGTCACAGCCACAGCTGCTGACGATACTGCATCCATGAGTACCCACAACATATGACCTTGATCCTTTGAGGGAGGCTCCAATCCCTCCAGAACAGGTTGAGCACTGTTAACCAGGCAAATGAACTATCTTGTCTGGACTGATTCTCAAAATCCATGAGTTTCAAAACCCATGAGTTTCAATGAAGCATGATGCAATGTGATTCTTCAGGAGGAATATAACCATTAAGTCAGGGCCTGATAATATACAATAAGTGCATCATGTAGATGGCAATTTGACACTATCAAATTCCCCCAAACTATACCACCTATCAACATACAAGTGCAGTTGTAAAGAAAAGGGACCAACCCACCCTTTTGGGGAATGCAAAGAAACAAGCACTTGATTAGAGGGCAGCACCAACAATTCTCTGTAACCCTGGAAAGTAGAAATTGTTCTGGTGATCTGTGGAGAGATCTTTATGGGAGATGCTTGCTTCAGTAAAGAGCTAGAGACTCACCCATTTGTTTGCCATGGGGGAAACTTGCAGTGGCATTATAGGTGCCTGATCGAAGTTTGCAGTGAAGAGCCGTCCTCTCAGAAGAACCTCACACTTCCTGGATAAGCAGCATGCTCATACTAAAGAAGCCATCATGCAAACTGATGATTTGCATAGACCCAGGTCACTGAACTGACTCCTCAGAAGATGCAATTGCTTATTCATTGCCGCCAATTGGCAATATTCTGGCTGATCTCTCCAAAACCCAAATGTTTACTCAATGTGATATCAGCAATGGTTTCTGGCATGTAAAGGCAGGTGAAGAGTCAAGTAAATTAACTACATTTTCTACACATTTTGGCTGCTATAGATGGCTCTGACTTCCTATGGGCATCTTGCCAGCACCTGAAGTGTTTCAGCGGAAACTAAACCAGGCACTTGAAGGATTGTTGGGTGTGAAGATAATTGCAGATGACATCCTGATTATAGGAGATAGAGCGCATGATATAGAGACAGAAAATGACCATAATTGCAAGCTACATTCATTCTTCCATGGTACAGAGATAGGAACATCAAACTAAACCCACAAAAAATGAAATGTAAAGAGAAAAGGAAATGTACCTAGGGCATGTGCTATCAACTGAAGGGTTACAACAAGATCCCAGCAAGGTAGAGGCAATTTAGAACCTGTTCCCACAAATCCATGTGACTGGGATTCAGAACATCCTAAAATTCCAGGCATAATGTTGGCCATTTTTTGCAATGAAAGCAGAGCCGATACAGCAGTTGACAAACATGCTGTAGAGTGGGACTGGGCAGGGCCATAGCAATGAGCATTTGAGAGATTAAAAGAATTAATCACAGATGGCCACATTCTCAGATACCATCAGTCGTGATAGCAGCTGACACTGCAGTGTATTTCTGAAAAGGGACTGGGAGCACTTCTTTCACAAGAACCATCCTTTGACTAGGGAAGGTGAGGCTTTACAGAGTTGGAACAAGGATATGCACAAATAGGGAAAGAGCTACTGGCAGTGAAATATAGGATCCCCACCAGTATACTTATGGACAACAAATATTTGTGTTCTCTGAGCATAAACTGCCAGAGAGATTTATAGGAAATGTACCTTCTTCTGAGTGCAGCTAAACAGTTAAAATGCATTTACAGAAATACCATGTAGAGATCAGTTATTATATTGTCCAGGAAAAGCTTTCTTATTGAGTTGTGTCTATCCAGCCAGGTCAGCTGAAATAGAGAAGGAAATGAGGACACTGAGTCAATTATTGTGATATACTCCCACCCAACAAAGCTACATGAAATTAAGAGGCAACAGATCAGTATCCACAATCCTGCATCCAAGTGGTCAATCAGGTAATTGTGGATGGATGACCTGCAACCAAAAGTCAAGTCCCTGAAGTAGCAGAAGCATATTCAAGGAAGAATTCCTTGTCCAAGATGGATGTATATATAATGATAGGGATCTCTGATTTCAGAGTCATTGCACAAGTCAGTAATGAAAAGGGGGTCAAGTCTCACATGAGGGATTGGATGGGTACTTGCAACAGGTTCAATTGGCCTGGAGAGAGAACACAATTTAAGGCATATGTGAAAAGGTGAGAACCCTGCTACTCTTGTGACAACCATCTGTGGAAGAGACCTTATTGCCACATGAGATTTCCATACAACCACAGGAAAAGATTGGCACAGGCTTACTTTTAAAAGAAAGCAGTACCTCATAATCCTAGATTACTATTCCAAATGCTTGGAAATCCATATTTGCAGGATACAGAAGCTAAAGAGGTGATCCAGAAGCTAAGGGCACCCTTTTCCAGATATGGGACACCTGGCACAATTACTAGCGATAATGAACCTTAGTTTAGACATGAAAAAGAATCCAGTATTCCTACAGCAGTGGGAACTTGAGCAGCTTAACCGTCTCACCAGCAAAGACTCTGCTGCACAGAGCCATCAGTCAGATCCTTATCTGTTATGTCTAGCCTGTCAAAATACCTGGTCAGAAGGATGCAAGGCAAGCTAAGCAACAACCTCTGAGAGGATACAAAACCAAGACCTGCTACCAATGTGTTACCCTAGTGAAGCTGTTTCCGTGAGATCATATGTACGAGGTGCTAAGTGTTCAGCCCAGCCAGCAGTAGGACAGAAGGGGGAAGGCCTGTGACCTTGGACTTATTGACATTGTCCCTAATTTTACAACTTTCAGACTGAAGCTGCAGTTCCAGCCAGCAGATCATTCTTCAGCATCTACGTGTGGAAGAAGAGGCCCTGCACTGGACTATAGACTCTTAAAACACCTTTGCTCACGGCATCGCTCTTGCAGAGACCCTGCACAGTTTTGTTGAATGTCGAAGCTCTAGACATCTGGGGTCAAGGTACCTAAAAGGATATCTCCTTCCACTTGTCTGGACCCTTGGATCATAATTAGAGTTCCTCTTAAGTACTTGCACTGAAAGAAGTCAGCAGGTGGCTCCATGAAAAATGTATTCCATTATTACAAGTAACAGAACTAAGTGGAAAGGCTTGGGATCTGTTAAAAGAATGAAGTTCTGGGGCAGGAAATACGTGGCTACAACAGGCCTACATATGCTGATTGTCCAGACATATGCCTGAGTAAAAGCGCTTCCTCTAATCCAAAGCCTGCCAGTGATTATGTTAATGAAACAGCTCTGGGAGCAAGGTTTGGAAAAGGGATTCTCCGTTTGTTCCTACTGTGTAAGACTGCACAGAGAGAAAATAAATATTTTGGGGCGTGTTTGCGAACTCCTCCTTAATGGTCCCTCTTTCTAGTCTTGTTCCTGGCTTTAGATTTTATTTCCAGTTGGACAAAGAAAACTTTTTCAAATGGTTGCTATAGCAAGGACTATAAACCCTTGGAAAATAATTGTGGAAGGCAACAGAAATTTTTAAAGGGTTGCTGGGTTGATTTTTCTGCCCAGAACCCCTTGAAAAGATTTCATGCTGAGCTGTACAGAAAAATCAGAATTAGGCCTGAGTTACAATCTAGGTGGCTGACCGGCCAACTCACTGTAATGTTACAGCCGTGTTTATTTCTCTAGGGCCGTTTTCATCCTTTGCCATCAAGTACTCAAGAAAAAGAGTCCCTGTGATTGAGAGTATATTGAGTGCTTGAAAAGAGTAAGGGGGAGCTTAAGGTAGGTTCTTTTTCCCCAAGTCACTCTAAGTTCCCTATATTGCACTCTTTGGCAATAAGGACACAATCCTGCACTACTTATCATCATAACTGCGGAATAAACCAACCCTTCTTGCTGCAGGCAGCAAGCCTGCTTCTTTAATGCTGGCCAGGCAGCAAACAAACTGAAAGAGAAGTGGAAAAGAAAGCACACGGAAGTCCACAGCTAACTTTAATCCATACAACAAAGTCCAGTTGTTTAACTCCCAAGGGTCCTGCAAATACTATACTTGCTGGCTTTTTCGTCATCACTTAAGCCATTTGTGATTATGAAAAATCCACTCTCAGTCAAGGAAATAGTACTTGAGGGAGGGTACTTTAGATGCTCTGCCAGATTATGTTTCTCCGGTATACCCATCCTCCCTTTCTCACTTAATTCTTCTGAGAGTCCTATTAAGAAATTGCTTTTGTTTTGAAAACAAAGCTGCCATTCCTGAAATGAGAGGTGGTCATTGCCTGTCATGTCAGCAATTAAAAATAGTTCTTGAAGGGAAAAAAAACTCCTGGTTGGGGGATAACTTTGGGGATGCACCCATTTGCCTTACCCTGGGTTTCTAACCCCAGTCCCAGTCCCAGTCCCAGTCCCAAAACATCCTACTAGCTTGGCAATAAGCTGGTACTGCAGTATATCGGAGCAGGACTGGGGAAAGAAACCAAATACTCCAGAACTGTGTTCTGAATATGCTCTCAGCACAGAAAATAAGGTGATGCCTCAGACTGACTGATGAAGTTTACAGATGAGTGTCTGAATTCTGACTGCTAGCAGTACCAGTCACCTCTTCTGTTCCCATTTTACACTCACAAAAGTCTGCTATAGTATTCGGTATAATGGAACACCATGGGACCATGGATAGTAAATCACATCTTTGGGGCAGCTGAAAATACAAATTTAACATTTTGTCTTGACCATCTCATAGGAAGGGTTTATTTAAGCTGGGTAAGGAAGGAAAAGGGTTCCTAAGCAGCACTGAGCCAGCCTGCAGCAGTGAAGCCTTAGCTGCTAATGACAAAGCACATCTGTAAAGAGGAATCATTTTGTAGAGCAGCTATTGTTTCCTCCCTGTGTCAGTGGCTTGGGAGCCAAGGGATATAAAGAAATAAAATTGGGAGCACATGACATTGTTCTTATTAGCTCTTATCATTCAATCAGGGCCAGCTGTCTTTTGCACATGGGCAGCACGTTTTCTTTTCCTCCTCCTCCTAGCTTTGGATACAGCGAGGTTAAGGAGACATGATCAAAGCTGAAACAATGATATTTTGCTACTGTATGAATTCACTTAATCCTCTTCTTATTGAGACCTTGTGCTGAAAGCTGATCATTTAGGTGGGCTCTAAATAAAGCCAGTAGCTTGAATTCTTGCCACCAGCCCTTTTTATAATGAAAAGGCCCTAATGAATGCTGGTAAGTGGTAGGAATGTGTGACCAGCTGCATCAAGGCAGGTAATACAACTTGGATTTAATTGGGAGCAGGTATGGGAAGGCTGTATTACTTTAATTGGTGAGGGGGGTTTTCTAAATGGAAAGGACAAAGTATAATGGATAAATTGTGCTGTACAATAGCACTTAAGCTGGGATTGTATGCATTCGTTAATCTGTTGAGGAATGAGGCAATTCTAAACAATTTTCTCAGTGAAACCAACTCCAGAAAGCTTGTCCCTTTTTTGTTCTCCCTTGGGAAAATGCAAGATTGAAACAGAAAATACCTTTACTGAGGCAATCATTTGCCACGTGTGGAAAGCGGATACAGCTGTAAGCTACGAAAAAGGGATCTTTGTAGTACAATAAAGGATGGAAAAAGAGATAAAGTTAGGGATAAGAGAAGGCCTGTCACTGCATCCAAAGGAGGAATAAAATGATGACATTTACAGTGACAGATGAGACTGTAAAGAGAACTCAGGACAATTTAGAGAGAGGAAATTTGATATTTAAAAGAAAGGGCTCTGATAATTAAAAGTAGTGTTACATTAAACTGTAACGCATGTCATTAGTGACAGAAGGGGACTGGTGCCTTTTGAAAAGTTAATGATTCGCATAGTCCTGCTCATGAAACTTTGTATTTATAGTAAAGTTCATTTGCACACAGAATACTTAGAAGCTGATTTCTCCTTCCTTCCCCTACATTTCATAGCAGGGAATAAGAAAGTCCAAGAAAAATGTATCTTGTCATCTCTTAAATGATATTGATATGTGTGGGAACATATTAATATCTCTGGGGTTCTTGCAAGTATGTGCATATAATATGTAGGCCACTGGGAAAGTCTCCTGTGCATGACCAATAGATAAGAATACTCTTGCAGTCTTTTTGCTGGCAGAGTGTGCCTGAAATGCATAGAAAAGTCTCTGCAAAGAGCACTCCAAAAGTACTCATTTGCCAATGAGTCGATGCTCTGGAGGTGACAATTCATTGATATTACTTACCTATATTCACATGAAGCTCTGTGTATTTAACGGACTAGCTCTAGGGTTTTCATGCAGCTTGCAGTATGGAATTTTGAACTCAGTTTGTGGATTCTCCCACAATAATGAGTTAAGGAAGCACTTATAACCAGGTTCCGCTAATGGAGCTTTTGCTCCTGTATATTTCATTACAGGTGGGGAAACCAGGCGGATAGGATGTCCTTCGGAGTTCATGTAGGCCTAGCACTGGGAGGAGAGAAACAAAACGAAGCATAAAGTAAGTGTTGAATGGGTTTTTCCCAGGATTCCCAAGTGGGTTTCATGTATTGCTTAATGCTGAAAATGAGACCGATTCAGTTTTCTCCACAGGTTGTAAAGGCTGAATTATCTTACCATTGCTATTGTGTGTGAGTACAAGTAAATGGACAAAGCTACAGCCTATTTCAAACATGCTTTATCTGAAGGTCTATTTTCTTCTTTTTTTTCTTTTTTAATTTCTAGTTTGTTTCAGGGAAGGGTAGTGAACTGCCATACAATGAAATCTGTCTTAACCAGGGAGGTATTAATTCATCCTATAAAGCAGACATGGGAGTATTCCTTGTTGATTTAGAAATCTTACTTAAATAATTCTAGTAAAGAAGTCATCTCATGTTTTGTTCTGTAGAATATAAAGTGTCATCTCATATTAGTCAGGCTGTACAGTTAAAACAGGTGACATAAGATCTTTTACTGCAGATGAATTCCCTGGTCTCAAATACATGGGCAAAAGTTACCCATACTGAGATATGTAGCATGTGCTTTGAAGTAACAAGCCTAGATCTGGGATGCTATATTACCAGTCAATGATTAGCTAGCCAATTGCTTATTCTTTTAAGCTGTGCTTTAAATCTATTACAGCAACACCTCTTACTACTTGTACAATGCAAGTCTGTACAAGTTAACTCAGTAGGAAATCCCCTTGACTCCAGTGGGGCTTACTTTCAGGTAAATATATTTAGGACTGCACAATCTGTCACTGAGTCTTTGATTCCAACCCCCAACACCCATATAGGGTTTCCTTTCCATCTTTTTTTTTCCTGTTAAGCTGTTATTCTTTAAACAGGGAGACATTCAACAAATACAACTCTTCCCTGTACAAAGAAGCTGTGGAAGCAAACCCACTGGCTAAATTTCCTCCAGTATCAGACCTTCTTTATTAAAGACACAGGATCCTAGAGAAGAAAGAATTAGTTCCTAGATATCTAACTACAAAGTTACACTTACAGAAAAGAGGACTTTTTAATATTAAGGCCAGATGATATTATAGCACCATTAAAATGTATGGTTCTTTTTCTGAAGACATGTGACCCAGCAAACCTATTCATGATGTATTGCAATCTGTTGGATGCTTGACACCCGTTCAGGCTTTGTGGTCCTGGAAAAGCAGCAAAAGGGTAGGTTTCTTGGGCTACAATTTATCTCTGGCAGACTATCACAAGTTCTCATCTCGGTCTCAACATAGTTGGAAAGCCCTTGAGATCTTGGTGCATGAAGGATTCCCTTATCAACCTGCCCAGGGTCTGGGCTGTCTCTGCAGACCTTCCTGTGGATGTCCCCATGATTTGTGATGGTAGATGGTACAAGCAGTGACTGGGAAGACAGCCTTTTTAGTGTGGCTAAGATGGCCACATGTCATCTTTTTACAGAAGGCAGACTACTATTTGAAGGAATTCTCCAGCTGACTTGACCGTCCTGTTCATATTCACTGTGAAGATAAGACCATAAGAAGAGACAGCAGGATCCTGAGATCCAGTATGCAAGCTAGGACTTTACTTTCTTTTCACCAGGCCTGAGAGTTTGGGAGTTGCAGAGTCTAATTCTTCCACACAAATCTGAGAAACAGGTTCCTCAGAATAGCATGCATGTAATTGAAATTAATTGGCACTTATGTTGATCTCTAGGGATTGGTTGTGGGGTTTTCCTGGCTTCCTGTAGGTGATAGACTTAGGGCCTTTTTGACCTCAGCACACCATTAAGTAGTAGAAGAAAGATGAGGAGGACTGGCAGATATGATGATATAAATCCAGTCCTTTACCATCATCATTGGTTACCAGTTGAAGTCCAGGCCCAATTCAAGGTAGTAACTCTAGTGTTTAAAGCCTTTAACAGCTTGGGGCCAGAGTATCTAAAGAGTGCCTCTTCTATATGAACCTTCCCAGCCCCTTAGATCTCCATCTGAGGCTCTTATGAGGGAACCCCCTCCTCAGGATATAAGGTGGGTGGCTACAAGAAGAAGGCCCTTTTCAGGAATGGCAGACCAACTTTGGAACAAGCTCTCTGGAGAGGCTCACCTGGCGCCATCTTTGCATTCTTTTCAGCACCAACTGAAGACCCTTTGGTATTTTAATTGGTAAAGTGCTTTTTTATTGCTATCTTAACATTAAAATATGGCTTTTATGCAGTCTGGAGTTCTGATGAGTGTGCTTTTACTGTTTTATTGTCATTTAATATTTGAAATGTTTTTATTGTTTTATACTGTGTTTGCATGTGGCTAGTGGGGTAGATTAGAAATTGAATAAATAAATAATTTTCAGCCTTTTAAACTTAGCTGTTTGAATTTTCCTAGTTCTGAATGAATTCCTTTTTTATTGCTTTAAGATTCTCTGTTTTCAGTTGTTGTATACTGTCTTGATTTTTAGCAAATAAGATGGGATATAAATTATCCCAAATATAAATCATAATTATCAGGATAATTCTTAATCCCTGCCAATTCATCTCTTTCTGGCACATAGAAGAAATAGCACTTAATCTTTAAACTATGTCCTGCCTGGCACAAGTCATACTATTTATACATATCACTTGCTAAACCTAGATATTATCAAAGTAAGAATCTTGGATGAAGGTATTTAAAGGAAACCACTTTTGATCTATTCAAAAAATGGCACTGCCAATTTACAAATGAGCAGCAGGCAATCTGACCAAAATAGAAGTTTCCACTCCCTTACACATCAACACAAACAAGCACACATTCACACCTTTTTTCATTCACAATATTGCACACATGGATGTTCTGGCAGAGAGATCCTTCAGCCCTGCACATAATGAAAGCAAACTGTTATATTTGCTTTACTCTGAGACATGCAGTGCAGGTCTATGGATGCATATTTGCAAGCTCCGTCATGTTGCCGGTAAGTGTGCATAAAGCTGTGGATTGTACAAATGGTTGTAAATGTGATATACATTGTTCAGACTGAAACCAAGTTCCAGAAAGAGTGTCTTGTTGGTGGTGCTATTCCATGCTCTCCCCGGATAAATATGTCTGGTGACTGGTTTATTGTCCTTTTGTGCCACACGAAGATAGTGTTATGTGCCCAAGTTTTTAAATTAAATTAAATTAAATCTTGATCCTGCCTTGTTATACTTCTGTGCTGGATATTTACATTGTAGTTGGCTTATTGCTTTTGTGAATTGAAACAAGTATGATTAGAAGGTGACTGTATTAACTCATGCTCAGGATAGCTCACGCATCCAATTTGCTGGGCGGAATTGTCCCTCCCTCTGAATGCATCTTTCTCCACATTTTTGTGGACCACTGATTGTAGTATATTCTACTTAGTCATAGGCTTCTGAAATTCCCCTAATTTCCGGAGCCTTTTTGGCATCACCTCTTTAGTTTTTGCAGGCACAGAAGACCTCAGCGATTGCACCTCTGTCCATCTCCCTTGCGGAAATGTAACTGCCCCGTTGGAGAATATGGAGACAGGATGTTCCCACTGCAGAGCAGCAGTGGCTAGGAGCACTGTGGACACTCAGTATCATTTTTGTTAAACAAAAGTTTTAAAAATGGCAGAAGTTATTATCTCCAACTGCACAAAGTTCTGAAGGTGAATATTGTCTCCTATGATTGGGGGGAGTGGGGAGAGAGAGAGAGAGAACGAGAATGAGAGAGATTTCATTCTTGCATACTTCCATACCCCGACTGTAGTTTGGCTTTACAGCAAACCACTGGCACCTTTGGGTCTGAGAGCACAAACCTGTCTGAATGTGCCACATGGTTTCCAGCTGCTAGTCTGAGAAATAGTTTGAAATATCCTGGAAGAGGCCCAGCTGTCTGTCAATAATGCAGGCAATAGTTGTAGATACACGGCATACTTCGAAATTTCTAATGGACAGGGGGAGAAGAAAAAAATGAACCCGCTAGCACTGGACCTAATTAGCTAGAGTGCAATTTTGAAGATTTTAATTCAATAGAATGTAAATACACCTTTCTGCAAAGCACCAAATAGACCATGGGAGCCATGAAAATGAATATCCCATTACCAGCCAAATGCCTGTGGTAGAAACCTATGAACTTTAATGTGCTTCTTTTTTGTTTAAAAATAATGGTGCTAAAACACACCGTGCTACATATGGTTTAAAGTAGTTGACGTGACAGATTGAAAATGCAAGATAAGCTTCCTGAATAATACCCAGTACATTTCTGTTGGGATATATATTTGTAAAATGGGAAGCTGGGAAGCATTCACTGGGGAGTTCAGAATAAGATAAGGCCCCTGTTCGTAGCTTGCTGTGCTGCTTATACAAGGGGAAAATGTATTTATGCTGTTCTCCTCCAAAATGTATTGGAATGTACATTGGCTTTAGTGGGCTAAGCTTTTCAGAAACAACTAGTAGCACACTGCAGTTTATTAACAGTTAACACATCATCTCTCCAAATGGGGCTTGTTGCAAGTGGCAGTGTGCCTGCACGAAGCTAATGAGCAAACCCCTGCCCAATATTGACAATTAATCAAGCATAAAAGCTTCTAGGATCAGGACCCACTGCCAAGCGAAGTAAGCTTATAGAGACTTCAATGAACCAAGATAGGTGAACCAATTTGTCTAATTATATATCCATCTCATGAACAAATTTTCCACCAAAACACTTAATTATCTATAGTATAAGCAGCTATGCATCAGCCCTGCGAGCAGAATAAGTTTTTCCCCCTGAGGGTGCTTTTTTTCTTTTCTTCCCCCCCACTTTTTTTTTGCAACCATCTACCGTGAGTAATAAATTGAAGGAAGCACCATTACGTTTCCACAGCAGTCTTCCTCTTTTAATTGGTCTTACATAATGAAGCCAAAGTTTTAGTGGTGGCTAAAGTAAATGACTAATGGTTACAGAATTTTTTTAAAGTGCTCATCAAAATGTGCTGTGAAATTATGTAATTACTCTAAGGTTTCTCACAGTTTTTTATCTTGACACACTCAGGGCAAATCATGCTAATATTTAATAAAAAGCATGTGTTAAAAGCCATTTTACAGGGGAATGCTTTTAAATTATTATTACTAGATGCTTTGGAAGTATTATTGAAAAAAGAGGGTTCTCTGCACCCCTACAAGTTCCCTGCCTATTTAGAATCATGGTAGTCTATTCGTCTTCTTTTGGAATCATTAATGCTGGGTCTGTTTTGACCCAAAAAGAAGAAAAAGATAGCTCGTGACAGAACTTCTGTTCACTACAGGAGAGTAATGTGTGCAAAGATGAGACGGTTTGGCCTTTTGTTTCACAAAAGCAATTTGGATGGTTTTCTTAAGGAACATTCTTGTTGACTTTCCTCTATCATCTCATGTATCCACATGAACCTATGGTAGTTTTGCTGAAACTGCTATGTTAGATTGCAACAATTCTTATGCTATGCGATCAACTGCTGTTTACACTGTCACATTTTTAAAAGTATTGTCTTATTTCAAGTTTGTTTATTTCAAGTTTTTGTAGACCATCACAATAACCACATGGCTCTTTGGATGGTTCACAACAATTAAAAGCCATCAAGCAAAACACAAAGATCCAAACATCATTCACAATTTAATAAATAAAACATCAATTCCATCAGGAGGAACACCAATCATGTTGACTTCATACAATAACCAGATTGGACAACATCTGATATAAAAACAATGATTAAAAACTTAAAATTAATAAATTAAAATAATCTAAAATTAGAATTAGAATTAAAATTAAAACTATCAACAGGTACAATATTTCAAAAATAGAAAAAGTCTTTGCCAGGCACTGAAATATGTACAAAGAAGGTGCCTGGCACACATCGCTAGGGAGCAGATTCCACACAGGGGTTCTTGAATGTATGAAGTTCTGAGAGACAGCTACACTGTGGTTTTTAGGAGCATTCACAGGGTGGCACTCTTCATTACATGGTATTATACTTCAAAATGTCTGTACATTTGCTTGAAATGGATTCTTTTCCTTTTGTGAATGATTGGCAAAATCAGTCCCTCAAGTGAGTTAGAGAATTTGGGCTTAAATCAGTTTAGGGGGCATCCTTAGCAGGTTTCAATGCGGGAAAGAAATTCTACATCTCCCATGCTGGCCATGGAGTAGTGGGACTTTTAAAACATCATGCAGGGACTTCTGCTCTTAGTCCTATTACTTTCAGTGCTGGTCAAAGAGCTAAGGAAATGAGTACCCCTCCCCTTCTCTCTCAAAGCTAATCCAGAAATGCCTATAAGTACAAGGATGCTTATAGCCACAGAGTTTTTGCCATAAGGCTGGTTCGGCACATCCATCAGCAGCTATTCATCATGATGGCCAATGAGCCTCTGGGTTCACAGGCAGCACTGAACAGCTGTGCAAGAATGGGAGGGCTGTTGTCTTCCAGCCTGGCTTGTGAATTTCTTGAATTATTGGGTACGGGGCCATTAAATGAGAGCTGGAAGAGAAAATGCTATTCAGCTTCAATGCCACCCCAAAATTCTCGAGTGGGGGAAGGGTGCTTTTAAAAATTATCAGTTGCTGAATCTTTCAATAGGATCAAATATATGTAAAAATATATTCTTCCACGTTCTCTGGTCTGAGAGAATGAGCAACTATAGATCCTGTCATTTGATTGTGTAGAGAACCTTTGGCGTAAGAATGATACTTAGAAACAGAAACAGAGTGAGTCAGAAGGGGCCTCCCGGGCCATCTAGTCTGACCTCTGGCACCAGCTGGCTCCGCTCATGACATGCCCACCATGTGCACGCCCAGCCTATCCTTGAACAATGGGGCCTCAACCACCTCCCGTGGAAGCCCATTCCACACCCTCGGGGTCCTAACTGTCAGGAAGTGCTTCCTGGCAACTAAATGGAACCAGGGTTCCCTGAGCTTTGCTCCGTTGGAGCTTAGTGTAGAACATTGAAAGAGCTGAACTGAGATTGTCTTGTCTTGTCAAGAAGAAAGGTATTTGGAGATGCATCAAGGGAAGAGAATTGATGTTGAGAAATGCTGAAGTTCATTTGGGCTTAGTTGTGTACAAAGCTGATACATACAAAACTACTTTGAGGACCCATGTGAGACCAAGCCATAATCTAGCTGGTACCTTATTATTTCCCCTGTGATGTTTTTTAAGTCTCCCCAACTCATACTGTCCTTTGCCTCACAGGGCACCATGCCATCCAAACAGCTGGTTTCTAATTATTTTC